AAGGCCCTAGTCAACTCGCCGAGTTATCCCAGTAACTCGTCGAGTTCAAACAGTGTCCAGAAGATCGGGGAAACCCCGGGTCAACTCGCCGAGTTGGAAAGGCAACTCGTCGAGTTTGCCCAGTCTTAACTCACTCAACCACTTTCTAAGCTAGTCTAACGCTCCAAACCATAGACCTGATCCCCTAGGGCTGAGATACCACGTAAAGGTTCTGACTTTACGTCCATGCATGGGATTAAAGGGACTAAAACACTCAATCCTAGCTTATTAAGGGATTTAGGGCATGAAGGAGGGCCAAGACTAGATAAAGATGGAAACTTTAAGCCAAAATAGGCCATGAGATGTCTATATCTGAAGTCATAGCTTCATGACATGCTCAAATCCAAGAATGACCCCAAGATAAGCTAAAAATGACAATATACTTTCATAGGAGAAGATCTAAGCAATAAAAGGCCAAGGTATTGACTTCATACCTTAAAATGGTTGCCACAACATAGTAAACACCGGATCTACAACCTCTCCCTTCAGCTATGCACCAACTACTTCAAGCTTCTTCACATAAACACCAAAAAGGCACTCCTTAAGCTCTCACACACTCAAACTGGTAGTAAAAGCACGAACTAGGGTTTATTTGGACAAAGGGGGCGATAAGGGAGGCTAACAATGAGGCTTACGACCTTTAAATAGGGTGCAAACCCTGAAAATTAAGGTTTTCCTTTCCAGCGTCATTGAGTTGGGGCTCCCCAACTCGTCGAGTTGAGTCCTTAAACCCGCGTCCAAATGAATCTCTACACGGCGAGTTGGAGCTCCCCAACTCGTCGAGTTCCAGCCAAAAACCTTAAAATATTGAGAAATAAATAATACCTGGACCAAGCGTTACAGATCTTACATACAAAATGATCCTATTGAAATTCGAAAAGGTTTTCATAGGTAGAATACTAAGATCTTATGATCTTACGATCAAGATCTCGATCTTGACAACCTTGCTTCCAATTATCTTAAGGGTGGACGGAGTCAGCCTCGGGCTAGGAAAGGTTGCCGACATTACTGTTAATACCACCGTGGGAACGAAACTAGCGAGAGATAAATACCTTGCTCTTTTGTACTCAACGTTATCCCCTCTCTCTCTTTTAACTTCTTTTTGACCATTGACCAATCAAAGTTGATTTTTTTTACCAATATAAATAACTATCAACCTTTAAACAAACCACATCCAATTCCATTCTATCTCCGATTCCATTCCATGTCTCTCAAATTCCATTCCTATATAACCCAATTCCACTTTATGGATTCTCATGACAAATCCAAATAAGGCGGTTATAGCCAAAGACACAACCGGAAAAACGAAATGGTTGGGATATTTTGAAAAACCGTGAAAAAGCTTGTGATTTTTTGAAAAACCATGCAAAATGGTTGTGCTCTCTGTCTCTTTCATCAAAACGAACCAAAACATCTTCATCCAACGCCTATATAACATCTTCAAATGCACAACAAAAGGGAAGTGTTTAACGTTGTTGACTCATTGCCTCAGAGACAACGAAAAGGAAAGAAAACGACATTGACATCCTCAAAACCGAATGAAAAGCTGTGTATTATACAAGAAAAACGAAAGTTCAACTATTGGAGCGGGAGATATAAACCCAAGATATGTAGTTTTTTTTAATTCGCATGTCATTTAATTAGAGATGTTCGACGAACGGTGATTGAAAAGAAACGAAAAATTGCTACAAAATATGATTGAGAGTTTTAGAATTTCTTTTAGGAATTTTAATTATCGTGGTTTTTTTTTAAAATTATCATATATTTTTTTTAAGTTATAGTAGTTTATTTTTAATTAAAAAATATGATCTGTTATTTTATTTTTAATTTTCTAGTTTTAAATTAATAATATAAGTTTAATTTAAAAGAAATGAAAATCAAACAGATTTTGAAAGATGAAAATTATGAGTTTTGATATGTTGTGTGATGTATATGAAAGAGACAGAGAAAAAAATGATATAACAATGATATGAATTTGAAGAGATGAAACTAGAGATGAAAGTGGGTCCAAAACCGGACCAGATTGACCCGAAACCGGTTAACGGAATTTTATAGAACCGAAAACCGGACCGGTATATAGGAACCGGTTCCGATTCGGTTCCGGGTACGGTACCGGGTAAAGTGGGTCTAGAACCGAAAAACCCGAAAACATCAAAGTGGGTAGGTTGGAACAGGATAAAGTGGGTTTAGAACCGGAAAACCCAAAAAAAACGGAACTTTCTGGCACTTACTACTTAGTGGGTTGAACTTTGAAAATTTTTATATTGATATCTCAACTTCGGGAGACTATAAGTCATTGAATATGAAACCAAAATTGACAAAATTATAGTCTAAAATCATGTACAGACTCTAAAATACACTCTGGAAAAAAGCACATGTGAATCCGACTTTAAACGAATGAGATATGCATGTGTTAACGTTTTCAAATAATACAAAGTACAAAATCAAATAGCTGAAAAATTCAAAATTTTCAGCTTTGATATCCCGACTTCGAAGGACTGTAATTCATTGAATATTAAACCAAAAATGACAAAATTATAGTCTAAAATCATGCACAAACTCTAAACTACAAGTTGGAAAAAACCGTATGTCAATCCAACTTCAAACGAAATAGATATGCATGTTTTAAAACTTTCACAGAATACAAAAAAGCTGAAAAACTGAAAAGCTTCTAGCTTTGATATCTCGACTTTGGGGGACTGTAAATCAATGAATATAAAACTGAAAATGACAAATTTATAGTCTAAAATCATGTACAAACTCTAAACTACACGTTGGAAAAAACCGTATGTAAATCCGAGTTAAAACAAATGAGATATGCATGTTTTAAACGTTTCGTAGAAACCGGTTCCGGCCCCTAAAAGTGGTTCCGGTTCCTAACATCGGTTCCGGTTCTTAGACCCGATACCCGGACCTGATGGACCCAAACCCGGTTTACCAGGAACCCGGATAAAACCAATTTTTAAACCCGGAGCTAGAACCGGTTCTATATATTCCGGTTCTAACGGTTCCGGGTCCGGTCCGGTTTTAAATCTCATCCCTAGATGAAACCCTCCACTCTAAAATCTAAGTAATGTTTCAAGAGACTCTTCAATGATTCTTCAAGATTCCTGAATTCACTTCCAATCTTCAAAAATTCGCCACTCTTTCTCTCTTGACTGTCAAAATTCGTTCATATAAAAAGAAAGAGGGAATTAGGGTCATGTTTATATCTTTTCATTAATGACCCCTTGGTCCTTCAAGTTTTAAGTTTCTCAATATTACTCTCAACTAACTTCATTTAACCCAATAACTTATGATTCTTACAAGGAACTTAGGAAAGTAAATTTCTTAACATCCTTAGTAACAACAAAGTCAAGACAATGTTAAACCTAATTTTTATGAAATTGGTAACTTTAGCCCATCTAATTAAATTTTATCTTTAACCTTATGTCTCATCTTTTAATCATCTTAAGCATTTTAACCTTATATTTGATCTTCTTCTCCACCTAAGCATTTTAACCGCTCACATGATCTTCTTTAACCTTATGTCTCATCTTAAGCATTTTAACCGCTCACATGCTCCAATAATGTGATCACAAACAAAACCTAGTTCAAACTTTCAATTTTGAAACAAAACTAAAAGCAACTATCTGTTGATTTTTTAAATTGTGTTACCCAGAAAAAAAATATATGTAACACGTTTCCCTTCGGATTTTTTTAATCAAACTACATTAGCTAGAATCAAAAGTAAATGCCTTATCACCAAAAAAAAAAAAAAAAAAAAAAAAACCTATTTCGAACTTTGATCAGGACAACTCCAAGAATCTTTAGTATTAAAATTGATAGATTCTATTGTTCAGCATACATGGAAACTCAAATGAGAACCAGCTGAAAACATAATGAAAATTAAAGGACGCAAAACAATAATTTGTTGAGGGTAATATGTATATTAAGCAAAACGATTAAAGAATTCTTCACCTAATCCACAAATAATGAAAATACTTCATTGAATGAGAACACATGTGAGATAGCTTAATAGGAGAAAGTTCTCTAAGCTTTTGGTACTTCGTTTCCATATGTCGTAGAGTGACGGTGGTGAACGAAACCATTGTATTGGATAAGGCCGGTTCGATTAACCAATGTTAATTGTATTTGATTGGTTGACAATATTCAAATATCAAATGAATAATTGGAGACTCCGGTTCCGGAAGCGGGTAACCTAGTTGCATCAATTTTATTAACTTTTGTCAATAAAACTACAATTTAGTTCGGTCAAAATCGAATCAATCCGGACCAAAGACGGACAAAACGGACCAATATATTCTAAATCAGTCTAAATAACACACACATATTCATACTATACACACACACACACAAACCGGTTCTGACGGGTAGCGGTTCCGAAAAAAATGAGAACCGGAACCGGAACCACTTAAGGTGGTTCCATAACTTTAGGAACCGGAACCAGAACTGCTTAAGTCAGTTACAGTTTCGGAACCGACAGTTTCGGTTCCAAAAGCGGGTACCAGTTCTGATGCTCATCCATTGTATAGAAAACATGGGAATATCCATTATCCAATTGTGAACACCTTGATCAGGGATCAAAACTGTAAATTTTAAAAACCACAAAGATACGACCTGTGAATATTTCGAAAGTTAGAATGAAAATGCAAATTTGAAAAAACCATAGACCATTTCTGTAATTTACTTGCAATTTTTAATGGTATTTTGACAAATACCCTAGATTTCAGTTTGATATTATGCCATAGGACAATTGTCGACATTTATGATTAAGCACCAATTGCGCGGAGACTCTTCAAAATTATTCCCACTATTCCCTCTCCCCACTAAACCCCACGAAATCCACCTCCGACAACATTTCTCTCCACTTTCCCAAGTCAAAAATTGCTTTCTTTGAACATTTTCCATTTTTCTTGATTCTGTATATGTTTGCAATAATTCACATAATTACAAGTTACAGGTTCATCACTAATCATCAAGAGTATTGATTGTATATGATAAATAAAAAAAAATGAAGAAAACACACACCAGTGTGAAAACCATGAATGTTTGTCTCTCCTCCATTGGCCCCACCCATCTAATCTCCTAATTCTGTCCTTTCTTTTCTCCATTCTCTTTCTCTCTCCTCCCAAAACAAAAGCCCCACCTCTCTCTTCGTTCCATTGCAAATTCCCTTTGATAACAGTTAACCAGTGTGTGTTGCTGGTCTTTATTTCGCTCTTATAAGAAACCCCCTTTTGAGTTTTGCCAATCCCAAACCCAAATAGATATATACCCTTCTTTTCAAACTCAGTTTTTGTTCTAGAATCCGAAAAAGGGTCCGAATAAAATGACCCAATTGGAATTGTTGAAGAAATTCAAGAAATTGAAGCCTTCTGAACTTGGCTGTTTCTGCATCAGTCTTTGCTTCATCGTGTGCCTCTTTTTCTTGGATTATCGGTCCTTGAGCAAAGTGTTCAGGGTTCGTGGGCACCATGGGTTGGGTCTGTGGTCTGGGTTAAGTGCGTCTAGTTCTTCGAGACGAGATCTTTCTGGGTTTCTTGAAATGGGTCATGGTGAAAACTGTAACATATTTGATGGTAATTGGGTGTGGGACGAGAGTTATCCACTTTATGATTCTAAAGATTGTCTGTTATTAGATGATGGTTTTAGGTGTTCTGAAAATGGAAGAGTTGATAGTTTCTACACCAAGTGGCGATGGCAACCCAAAGATTGTAACTTACCCAGGTTCTAATTTCTATCTATCTATCTCTGACTCTACTGTTTCTTTTTGTGTGAAAAAATTAATCGGTTGTTATTCAATTTTAAGTTATAAGTAGCTGGTAAGATTTAGATGATGGTTCAAGTTCATTTTTGCAAATTTTAGGTTTTTTCATCACATATGTTAATCGGGTGTGTTTGTATATGCAATTTCTTTAACCATCTATTATTGCTAAGGGGAAGAATTAGATTAAAATAATCGGTTGCTTATTGTTTAAGCCTTAAATTGATGATGAGATACTGAATAAGTACTTATAATAATCAATTGAATTAGCCTTTATAAACGTGGTACATGAGATAATGGTTGGACATGTTTTTGAGGTTGAAGTTGTGTTATAACCGGGGGTATATAAGTAATTGTACTAGACTTTTTTGTAATCATTTTCATTGCCGCTACAATCCACCCTAAAATAATCAAATCAAATAATCATAAGCATCACAACATCCAAACACCAGATTATTGCGACCCTGAATAACGAAGTTGATGGGTATGCTAAAGATCAGTTATTTATGCCATTTGTTGATGGAGATTTTGTGTTTTTGGGTGATGATTTTGAATTTTCCAAAGATGATTCGTGTATGAAAGTTTATGAATTATTGGTTTTGATCATATGTGCATGAATACAGATTCGATGCAAAAACTATGTTGGAAAGGCTAAGAAACCGTAGGCTAGCATTCGTTGGTGATTCGATTGGGAGAAATCAATGGGAATCCCTTCTGTGTTTGTTATCTTCTGCTGTTACAAACGCATCTTCAATATATGAAGTCAACGGGAGACCAATCACGAAACACATGGGGTTTTTGGTGTTCAGATTTTTGGATTTTAATTGCACAATCGAGTATTACAGAGCTCCATATCTGGTGTTACAGAGCAGACCACCTCCTGGATCACCAAAACAGGTGAGAACCACTTTGAAGCTTGATAAAATGGATTGGAGTGCTGCAAAATGGAAAAACGCGGATGTGATTGTATTCAACAGTGGCCATTGGTGGAATATTGAGAAAACTACACGCGAGTAAGACCCTGTTTCTTGTTTAAGTGTTGTCATGTTTAAAAATTATTTGGGAAAATAACGTGACAAATTTGTAGGGGGTGCTACTATCAAGAATCCGGAGATGTGAAAATGAATATGACCATAGAAACCGCATACAAAAAATCGATTGAAACGGTTTTGAACTTTATAAGTAAAGAAGTAGACACGAACAAGACACAAGTCATCTTCCGGGGGTTTTCTCCGGTGCATTTCAGGTTCATTTCCTTTTCCTTGAAAATCTTTATTATAAGATTTTTGGTTAATACTTACTTACTTAATGGGCGGTGTTTTAGGGGCGGTGATTGGAAATCCGGTGGTAGCTGCCACCTCGAGACACTGCCGGACTTGAGTTCATCCCCGGCTTCATCGGGCACCATGTTTTTCACAAATATTTTCGGTTCGGTGTTATCGGAACATGAACACGGGAATGAGACATTAGAGTTATTGAATGTGACATACATGTCATCAAAGCGAAAAGATGGTCATGCATCTCTATATTATTTGGGCCCACAATACGGTGGACCCGCACCTTTACGTAAGCAAGACTGCAGCCATTGGTGCTTACCTGGTGTCCCGGATTCTTGGAACGAGCTTCTCTATGCAGTCTTTCTCAAACGAGAATACTCCCTTGCTGGGAATTTCACTGCCGCCACCACCCCGTCTTTGATATGATCAATGGTGGGGAAACCAATGTTGCCTCTTATGAATTTAAAAATGGAAGCTTTGAGGTGATAGTGAAATGGGCTTGCGGAGGCAGTGGACATGGCGGTTTCTGATTGCCGGTGGCGGCAGGATTCTATGATGAAGATTGTGGTGGTGGTTGAATGGGCTGAGACGGGCGGTTGAAGGGGGAATTGTTTTTGGGATTCAGTGCAAATTGCATTGATGAGAAGATTGATGTGTAAAGAACTAAAGATTGAGGGGGAGATTTTTGAATATACATAGTGGGGGGGCGGGTAAATACCGAAATTGAATTGAATAACAAAATATATAATATACATAGTTGGGGGCAATATTTGGGTGTTTTGTAAATGTGGGCGACTCGTTTGCAATTTAATGTTTTTTTTTTTACTGTAAAGGACTAAAGGTACAACTTATATTTGCATGCAGTACGAGCCGAAAGTTATAAAATTAAGTTCACGTGACATGTAACCTTTTTTGGAGGATGGTTAGGCCGTTTCGATTGGGCCAAAACATGTTTTAACTTTTTAGGGAAATTTTTTGGGAAAAAAAAAACAAGAAGTTCGATAGTCGATAATGACTAGTGAGGTGCTAGAACATTTTGTCCTTTTCTGTAAACGGCTAGTTTAAATATTTACAACAAATTTGTGTTGAAAGAATATTGTGCCCTTGTGAGTTTTGGTTGTTAACAATCAAGTAGAAAATGCCTTTACAGATAAGCGTGAATAAAGTGTTCTAAGATAAATTTTGGATATTGTCCAAAAGGTTTCCAAGGAATTTCAAAATCAATTTTTTTTATTTATTTATTTTTGCGTTTTTAGTGGAAAAGTTGATTTTACTATTTTTATTTTTTTTTATTTTCTTTATTTATTTTGGTATTTAAATAATTAAAAATAAAAAAATAATATATATATATATATATATATATATATATATATATATATGATGCCATGAGTAAGCTGCATCCATGAGGAAAAGATGAAAGAACAAATTCTAACTCCAAACACAATTACTAAATCAATATTAAAATAAAAAATCCAAACCAAATTGTGATCTAGTCCTAATTGAAGCTGGAAAAAATCGAAATCTTCGAAGAAAAAATCGAAGATGGAGGTTGAGGATGACCATGAATACAAAAAGTAGTTGGAACAAATCTATAGAACCCTACACCCCCACCCCCCACCCCCACCCCCGCCCCCACCCCATCTTCAAAGCTTTGTCCAAAAAAAATTAAAATGTAGGTCGTCTTCGTATTCTCAAACCAATCAGTTAATGAAATTTCAAGACATAACAAAAAGCTCAAAATAATTAAATCCAACTTTGAACTTATATAAGCTTTGATTGTGTGTTCATCGATGCTTTCAAGAGCCTCAAAACCTAGAAAAAACATAACCGAAGCTTTCAAGCACCTCCAAATCATTGGTACATGTGAGAAAGATGGCAAAGAGTCTCCGATTCAGGTGCAAATTGGCCAGAGGCCAAGTCAAAATCGTTTTAACAAAGCGAACATTCAGGGAGTCTTTCAATTCTTAAATCAATGGGTTTCCCTTGATCAATTTTGAAATTAAAGGGGTTTTCTGAGTTGATGAACCTGATGAAGAACCTTGTTGCAGGAAACCTCGTCTTGATTTGGAAGAGAAACGGGTTGTTAACATAATCGAAGTTGGTGACGATCGTCTTCATCAACATCAACACCAACCACCACCATACCTTCTGTGAATCAGATTTCAAGATCAGGTCATCTATTCTTCAAGAATCGGTGTATGATGTACCTTCTTTCTCTTGGTTGTTGGGATTACACAAAGAAAAGATGGGGCTTCAGATACGTTTATGAGAGCTAAAGAGATGAGGTAGATGACAACAAGGGAAGAAGAAAAACGAGGGTGGGGTGTAGGTGTTTTTTCTCTGGTGGAGAGAGAGAGAGGGGATTGGGTGACATTTTATTTTTATTTTTTATTTTTAATTATTTAAATACCAAAATAAATAAATAAATAGAAAAAGAAATGAAAAAGGTAAAATCGATTTTTCAAATGTTTAATTTTGGACATTTCTTTCAAGTTGGAAACTTTTTAGATTCTATCAAAAGTTTTTTGAATACCACATAAACAAATCTTGCAGTTTTGTCTAAATGGACGAATCATAATTTATATAAACCATGATGTAATGCTTAGTTCCTAACATTCTTTTTATATTTTTGTGTTTTAAATTTTAATCGCATTTTGGGCTTGTTTGGCACGGAGCTTTTGGAAGCGTTTGAGAGCTTCTAGCTTTTAGCTTTTGATAAAACGCTTTAGTTTAAACAAAAAGCTTCAGTTGGCAGTACGAGCGTTTAGCTTTTAGTTTTAACAAAACGCTCCGATTCTAAAAGCTACTTCATGTAACGTTTAACAAAACGCTCCTGAACTTTTGAAATCTGTAACATCCCAAGTTCCAGAGCAAAAGATTGGGGGTGTAAAAATGCAAATGGAGGTTTGGACTCTGCGAGTTGGAGGGGTAACTCGGCGAGTCGAGTCGCGAGTGGACCACGTGAATAAGTGACCCGACTCGGCGAGTCGGGGACGGACTCGGCGAGTCCGTGCTGGAATATGAAACCCTATTTTCAGGGTTTGCACCCTATTTAAAGAACAAT